AACTAAAAGTTCAGATCGGCAAAGAACAAATTACCAATTACCCTTCTTGCGTCTTGTACACGTGCACAGGTATTTAATCTCAGCAAATATTCTACAATTCCAAACTCCATTATCCCCTTACACCACAACCTCCCTGAAACCACCGTAGATTCGATTCAGTCCAATCGCCCCATAAACCAGTTCCGATGCAGAACACACGGAATAAAAGACTGCAAAAGAATGACTTCTGAATTACTGGCCTGCAGCATTTTCAAGAGATAGTTATGTGGCCCTCCTCAAAAACTGTTAGTTGAAAGATCAGTATTATCCATAATAAATAAATGTATATTAAAACCCCTGAACGGCATATCATTGCGAACAAGCGGTAAATATTTTTTTAAGGTTTACACGAAAAACATATTTCTAAACCGGAATTTGAATCCGAATATTGCTTCGTCAGTTCCTGAACTCTGGATACTAGTCGCATTAGAAACACTCCTTCTCGTTTCATTGCGAATTTGCAGGGAAACTGGAAAAATCCGTCAAAAAGAGGAAAGTGTGGGCTTGGAAACGAACGAATATATCCGCAGCTTCCTCATCGCACTATCTCGACAAAATCCGTATTTACGTTGGAAACATCGCGCGCGACATTTGCTGGATGGATGGACGTTGCCCCAAGTTCACGTCATTTCGCATTCGGACATCACGGTGTTTTGTCGATAACGCTTCAATTGCTCTGCGGTCGGTGGCTACTCCGCGCCGATTAGATAGCCAGCGGGGGCGCAAAGCTTTACAGTGGCCACAAGCAACTATTCAAACGGACAAAACACAAAAGGGGAAAAAGCAAGTGCAGATGGTCCAAAGTCGTAATAATAATAATTGGTAAATTCTACGTTTTAATATTTTTGCACTCACGGACTCAGAGACGCCAAAAACACAACACTTCAATTTAGCAACACGAAAAACATAACACTTCAATACTTGCCGCTGATTTGAAGTGTTGCGTTTATCGAGCCAGTGAGTAGAATATTCCGATAAAAAAAAATTTTTCACACCTACCATATATTTTGACAATTAGCTAACTTTTTAATTGTGTACACTCGATTACAATTAGTTTTACATTTACATTTCCTCGAATGTCGTGGAAGACACATTTGCCTAAAACCGTTTTCAATAAAAATCACGCTGACGAAAGGAAAGGAAAATATGAAGAAAGCTACACTTCATACAAACAATTTCCATTTACAAACAAAAGATATATTTTTCCGGGTATTAATCTTTCAAATACCTGATCAATTCATATTTTCAGGTACTTTTTTTTTTCAGGAATATTCATATTTAAAATACCATCCGCAAAACGAATACAGATAACCGTTTCCATATAATGTGTCTTCATGGTACTTCGTTCTTCATGGTACTGCATTCATCACTGTACTTCTCCCCCATAAATCACATACAGTTTCACTCTTCATTGACAAAATAAATCAAATCAGAATATTCTGAATTTCCAGGATGACCTTTAATTTTGCACTGGCAAGGTGACTCAGGCCTTTGGCCGAGATGTCTTATGGTTCGATTCCCGACGGTGACAGGATTTTCGATACTAGCATGTCAACTAGGTCGAATTCATTCTCTGTCTGGAGGGGAATTCTAGCGGCCGGCTGCTCTGATCACTAGTTTTCTGAAGTTTCTCCGATCAACATCAGACGAATGCCGGAGGAAAACCCTAAGAAATGGGCCACGAACCGCGCGACCTTTTCTTCCTCTTCATAGTAATATCCTTATCCCTTATAAACATTTACACTCACATGCAGGTATACCACACTTGTCGGAAGACCAGTCAAGACCGTAGAGCTTGTCCCGGCTAGGCGGTGCCGCTCTGGTAGGAGATACCTGGTAGGGGAATATCCTCGCAAGCCGACGTAGGTAGGTGCCTCATCTCGCCATCCAGCAGCCGAAGATCACCCTTACCTTCCGCGATAACAACGCACACCACACTTACGGGAATAACGACCTATCATCAGTTCACGCGCTAGAAATCAATAATCAATGTATAAATCGTGACCCTTTAAGAGCCCTGCTTCTGAGGTCTGCACCAAGAAGCTCGCGTTGCGGGTTGCGTGTGCGCCTTTGCGTCTCGTATCATATCCTATATCATATTTTACTAACTTCTTCCTTCGGGTTAAACCTGTTTGATGGAGGACTGGAAAAGGGTTTCTTATTAATGGTATATATTGCCATGCGTAGAGTGTTTTATATAGAAGGAAAGAGGAGGATTCATTTTTGTATCTAGTGTATGAAACATAGACTACATACAAAAATAAATCCTTCTCTTTTCCTTCTTGCCCTCTGTTCAACTTTGCATTCTAATCCTTTTCATCCTTTTCCCTTTAATTTCAGTGTTTGCGGACTTTTGAAATCAATTCCATTAGTTAAGGTTTTTAAAAAAGCAATGCACCGTTACGATCCACAGTAGCTTAACCTTTTTTTAATTCTAAATTTCAAAATACAATTTTTTCAATCGCCTTTATTTTCTTATCGTTCTTCATGATCTTCATCTGATATTCTGAACGTGGGTTAGAGAAATAATTTTTAGTGCCTGAAAATAATTTTGTTTTGAGCACAAGTGATCAGAGGGTAGCTTACTTCTTACAAAGGAATCACGATCAGGTGTATTTTTTCCTATTATGCGCCATCCAATGTTTGCCAAGTAGTATAGAACATATTTTTTATTCTTTTTTTAGCTAAGACATTTACAGCCATTTTCAGGTATGTCTGTTTAAAATAATTATGATATTTTTTTCAAATTGGGAATTGTACTTTCATAATACATTACATTAACTTTCAACATACATTATATACAAAGTTATATTGTTTATTTCCGAAGAATGAAACAGTATATTGGAAGGGAGCGGATCGTTTTGAGGAAAGGGGTCCAATGCAGTGTTTAAACGGTATTCCATTGTCATGTGCCCGTTCACCTAAGTGTTCCTTTTGCTGTATTTCGAAGTTTTGTAATTTTTTTGTTCGTGTTTGTTTGCCTTTGTACGGTAGCAATGAAGAAGAAAAGTGCTCTATTTGAAATCGCTAAAGAAAAGTTACTGTTATTAGAATATAATCTTGGACGAGACATGACTGCAAATTCAACAAACTATTCAAAAAAGATAAAACTCTCGAAGTCAAGAATGTAGGTATCTAAATCTAGATGTTGAGGGCTACCGGAAAGTTCAGCAAAGAGCAAAATGGGAAAACTCAAAAAAGGGGGAAATGCATCAAAATTCGTCAGGAGTGGAGAAAACAAATGACAGTGCGCAAGGAGAAAAGTGCCATTATGGTCTCCTAAGGCGGGAAAGCTGCTTGGACACAACTGTACGTAGACCAAATGGCTTACCGCATTCGCACATAATCTCTGAAGAGTTTTGAGAAGGAAAGCCCTTAACTATTTTTAAAATATTTGAATATTTGATTAATTTAAGCTTTGTAATTTCACATGAAATTATCTTTGCTCATCAGTAATTTGGATTATAAAATGTGAGATTTAAATGTGGGTTTAACTTAAAATGTAAGCAAGGAGAAAGATAATTACTTGGGTCAGAAATGAGCAAAGAACTGATGACATTATCACCAATAAGAAAATGACAAATGAACCGCGTAAGTCATAACCTAGGACACTCGTGTCGGCTCAAGGTTCCCAAGCGAGGTGAACAGGCAGGCCAGCAGCAGAGATTTGCAGAGTTCATGCAACATATTGGGGCCAAAAAGTTTGGCATAGGATCAGTGGGGGGGGGAAGTATGTGAAAACCTATCGATACGACAAGACACTAGTGTTGATGACTATTCTAACTTGTTTAATACACGAATATGATAAAGCATTTAAGGATAGAGAAATTCATCAAACTTAATGGCATTCAGTTTCGTCGTTCGCCTAAAATCTTCTACTGATAAGAGTGCTAGCAACATAAATTATTTTGGTATCACGAGCACCGAGCAGCGCTGGGACCGTTTGAAGGGGATGCAAGCAGCAGCAAAGGACGGGGCGAGGTGCCGGCACGCACGCGACACTAGCGCCCCGCACGGCGGCGAAGCAGAGGCGCGAAGCAGAGGCGGCGCCACCAGGCACTGACTCGGATCGGTGCGGACAGACATTGTTAGCGCGCTGTATCTTTTTATGAGAAACTTTTTTCTCTCATGCGATACAGAGCTACAGAGAATATTTGCCACTTATTGTACTTTTATGAGTTGTAATTTGTTTAAAACAACACTCAAAATCAACACTAGAAACTATAATTGCATACCGAAAATGCATACGAAGTATTTATATATAAAAAACTTTTTTAATTGGGATAATTTCAGTGTCAGAACAAGAAAATATTAAAATTATATTCTCTAATAATCATCACTTCTTTAAAGGAACATGACACATGGAGCAATAATAAACTATATAAAGACTGGTGTATTACGGACAGTGTAAAAATGGGTACGATCCCCTTAGGTGAGATGTCAATTTGTTGCAGAAACGGACCCCCTGTAAAAACAGCAAATCACGGACAATGAAATGGGAAATTTCATATCAAACGTTAATTTAAAGTAAAATAAATTGTTTACGTTCGGTATATTTGCCGTCTAATCAACTAATGTGTATTATAAAGCTTCAAGTAACAATTACTGAATAGAGAGTCCTTAAAATAATCCAATTATGCTGACTGCATTTCGCACAAAGAAGCAGAACTCTCTTCGACAGCAAACCATATGCAACGTCTCTCCGAAGTGATGCAAAGTAATTTAACTTGTCGCTTTATTAAGGTGAATAGTCGTTAAGGAGATGAGTCGACGAATAGTGGGCATTTCAATTAATTGCAGTAATTAGCAAAGTGCAGGCAATGCACAAGTAAATCTGCTTAGTGGCTCCAGCCTGAACTTTCCTGTTTTTCGAGGGTCCGCAAGGCTGTTCAAGCGTCTTGTAGTAGCTGACTGCAGAATCTCATTACGAAGCCGGCGGCAGAGTGCAGTACGGTGCAAGGATGTGTATTCGAATACCGCGCTGTGGACGACAGAATTCTGAGAGGCGTTGGTTTGGTAAAGCCTACGAATCGACTGCCACCCCAAGAATGCAAACTTTGGAGAAAGTGTCACTGGACGTAAACAATTCTGAAAAGGTACAGTAATAGTATTATGTTGCACGAGTTCATCCATTACAACGACTCGTAGTCGGGAGAGAAAGGGCAACCTAAGAAAAATCCTTGAGCACCAGTAGCCTCAAATGATTACTTTTTGTTTAAAAAAGTCATTACTTTTGTAATTTATGAATAAATCGAAGGCATTTAAAAGTATTTTTAAGTAAAACAGTTTTATAAAATGGTTTAAACGTTCCAAAAATCATTTTAATTAAAGAAAATCTACGTAATACTCATAAAATTTGTAAAATTCCTTGATACCGAAACATTGATTCACGGCAAAACGTCTGTCTGTCCGCCTGTGGTGAACGCTAGCGCCGTCAACCTCAACCATCAACGCAACCAACCGTCACCATCAACGATAGCGCCTAAACCGTTCAGCCGATTTTCGCCAAAATTGATATTCCCCGACGATTTGAATAAAATTCGATCTTTTTAGAATTCCATTGGGGTATTTTGATTTTTGAAGGTACTATGCATGAAGCTTCAAAAACATTTTCACAATTTTCTCAAAAATGGCTTCATTTTTTACTAAACTTTGTCCTGCGATGGCGTTAAGGGCGGTAAAGGAATAGTTAGTGCTGGCCATTGCTAGAGTGCAATTCTTTGGGGCTTCTTTCTTCAACTACAAATGAAGGAAGAATTTTTTTCCTTAATGAAATCTGTTCATTAAAAACAAATCTTGAAATAAGGTCATATATGATTTTTCGAAAATATGAGTAGTTTTCGTGTAATTTTGCAATAAATATACCAAATTTTACTTTATCTACAACAATGTTTTTCACGAAAATTGCACGAAGTTTTTCTTTAAATTTTCTCCTCGTATTTATGAAGGGACGGCAACAAATATGGTTCTAGTCCCTCGGCGAACTCGTCGTATTTTCAAAAATTGCAAAACGTTAACAATTCAAAACTACAAATTGAAATAGAAAGTTTTACCTATAATACTAATATCTGTTCTAAAACATTAGCTCTTAAAAAGGTCATGTACAATTCTTTTTGTAGAAACGAGTAGTTTTCTTGTAATTTGTGCTTCAAACTAATGCGATTTGTTAAAAACAGTTTCTCAAAAACCGCTCCTAATCTGATTTTCATTCTTTTGTTCACGTATAGAAGAAGAGTCGCTTGAAAGAATAGTGTTGGTCATGTTTTCGTTGGACAATAAATTTTTTAAAATTCCAAATTTAGAAGCTGCTGTCGAAGCACCATTGCTTTTACATGTGAAGGACTCATTTTACTCTCTTCAGAATGCGGGGTCCAACAATTGACTCGCGCACAGAGCCGTGATTCTATGTTCTCGCCCTTCTTAGGAAATAGTCTGTAATCGTGCATCGGAAAGCGGCCATTTTTCGACTGAAAAACTTTTATCGTCGGGCCCTGGGAACGAAAAAGTGGATAAATTATGTTTCTATATATAGTTAATGATTTCCTCTTACACGTAGTGTAGCCAGAAACCTTGTTTTGAGGGTCCTTGATATCGAAAAATCGATTGACGGCAAAACGTCTGTCGTCTGATTCTTTGTCCATGTTCAACGCTAGCGCCTAAACCTTTTAGCCGACTTATTCCAAAATTAATATTTCTTGATCGATCTGAACGAACTTGAGGTTTTGGAATTTTCAAACGGATATTTTAATTTTCGGTGACAGTCCCATTTTCTGCGAACTCTGTTTTGTTTTTTCGAAATTTGCGAAAAGTTAAAATTTTAAAACTACAAAATTGAAAATAGAGTTTTGTCTTGTTGACAAAGACTGTTTTAAAATGTCAGCTCTTAAAAAAACTGTACTATTTATTGAAAAAATAAGTATTTTTCGCTAATTTTGTGTTTGAAATTAATGCAATGTATAAAAAATTCCTAAAACCGTTCCAATTTTTTTCCACGGAATGTAGAACCACTAGTTGCAATATATGCAATCGTTGACGTCTCAACAAAGTACGTTCCTTCAATATTAATCGCACTTTCATTTTTAACTTTTTTCGATTCTGCTGGTGAGGCGGGAACGTATGACCTGGCTGGTGGCTACAAAACCCATAAATCCGAACACACCGGCACATGACGCGGTATTCGCCCGTGGACACGCCTTAATGCGTTGACACTGGCACGCATAAACCGCTGTTGGACGCAAGTAAGCAGATTCGCGACTCAAATCTCCGTAATGCCACACAAGGGCAAAGCTCACAAAGGGGGCGGCACCCACTGAGGCTGTAAACATAGCACATGAATTTGAAAAAAAAATTGTGCATGACAATCATGATTCAAACTGATTAACACATTCATCAAACCATCAAATAGATCGTTAATAGGGATTATAATTTCATAATCTTCAGATCGTTTCTACTGGATCTGATGTTTGGCGAGGAGTGGGAAGCTACATTTACTCTTCAGAAACAAACATTTGCTCTCAGAAACGCTGAAAATTTTGCAAAAACTACGATAGATATAGAGTTGTAGTTGTAATGGTTTGTTCTCATTATTTTTATGATAACAGTTTGCAACAGCCCTACAGACTTGACTTCTACGCTGTCAAAGCACTACAGACTTGGTTCAGAACGTAGTTCTCACTAATGTATGCGAGGTATTTGCATGCAGCGTTCGCCAGTATCTGAGGTGTAAATTAATACTTACACCTCAGATACGAATACAATAGGTACGTGCTATTCAAGATATGAAAAATTTGAAAGATATGAACATTATCGTAGTGAGGATTATATTATTCGTCCGTTTTGTAAATTGCATTACGACGGACGAAGATTACACCTTTGTTCTATTCTCCTCTCATAATTCTTGCCCTCCTATCTTTCTAACTCCGCGGAAGACAATGGAAGTAGTACACACATGTATGAGTATTATTTTCCTTTATCTTCCATTAACCTTCTTGTTATTCAATTCTGTCATTATAGTGTTATCATATGTGAAATAAAACTACAAAATCATATATATATATATATATATATATATATATATATATATATATATATATATAATGGTCAGAAATAAAAAAGCAGTCGAATTGTGTACATTGGGTACTTTTTTATTTTTTAGTTATTTTTCTTTCTGAACAAATATATTCATTTCTTTTGTAAATAATAAACAATTTACATGTTTCTGGGGTGTGTCTATGCTTTTATAATGCAAAATTTTGTCTAGTAATCATCTTTTCAAACCAACTTTTGAGTGCTTATTGCGGCTATTCTATTCTGAATATCTGCGTAATTTATTAGACAAAATATGCTTAAAATTGTCTTAATTTTCGTAATTTCAACGTTTCTTCCTCAGACATTCTGTATATCGTTAGTTAATTACATGCCAATAGAACATTATTTGTATGCCAAAAAGCGGTGTGAGATAAAGAGATTACGTCTGAGGCCAATGCTGTCTCTGGCAACAACAGAGACAGCAGAGACAGTTGAGAGTACCCAATCAGAGCTATAAAATGATCCAATCTGATGGTGGTTATCTGCAGCGAGGTTTTTGGTGTAACTTATGCGTTTACCGCTCGCGAATTACCATGGATGTTACCCGTCCATACTGAGAGGGGAATTCGAGGGGAAGTAATGAGTGGTCCGAATGTTGCTGCGAATGACACATCAGTTACGAAAAGTAAAAAAAAACTCTTTTTTCTTTTAAAACTTGAGAATATTCAAGTTTTTTTTATTTTTTGTATAAATGGAAGGACCTGGTATTCCGGAACTTGTTTCGTCCATTTATTCGAGTTTATCGAAATTACATCTCAAACATGAATTAATGGAAAGGAAAATATGATATCTAAGAGATGCTCTGTTTTCTGTATAAATGATAAGAGGACAAATCGGCAAAAAGTATAAGTAAAGAAAGAAGATAGTTAAAGGGAAAGAAGACATCCTACTCGTAATTGTAAGTATAAAATTGCATCTATCATGATTTTGGATCACGGTCCTGAATGTATACTCTCTCTCTCTCTCTCTCTCGAGAGAGAGAGAGAGAGAGAGAGAGAGAGAGAGAGAGAGAGGAGGGAGGGAGGGAGAATATATAAAATCATATATTGGCATAATTCTATGAATGGGAAAAATTAATTATGAATATTTATTGAGAAGCTAACAGTTTGTTGAATTCTGTTGGTTGAAAATGTAAAAACACAAAGAGATTTGTATTATGTATTTTTCGTTCTGTATGTTTGCTCGCTCCCTTTAAGATTATTTCCTTAACTCAGCGTACAGACCTTTCGAGTACCTGATTCTGCTGACCATCTTTGCAAATTGTGTTGCCTTGGCTGTGTATACTCCTTACCCCAACAGCGATTCCAATACAACCAATCTATACCTGGTAAGTTTATTGAAAGAAGGTAAGTTATTATCGAAATTAGAAATAGTGAACAAAATCTCATTTCCAGATCAACTGAATATTATTACATTTAATTGTTCATATCATTTATTAATAGCTACACTCATAAAATATGAACAAATTACAAACTGAGAATTTCCTCTATATAAATTTGCAGTGGCGGATTAGGGAGAACGCAATTGCCCCCTTCCCCAATGATGGTAAAACTAAGAAAATAGTTGCCTATACATTAACTTTATATTCAAATTTCTAAGGAATCCTTGCAATAGGAACTCTGAAATCCCGCCACTGTAACTTGTGTCCTATATAGCGCGTCCGAGTTTAAGAATGAAGTACGCGGTCTTAGGGGCTTTTCCGGTAAATAAACACCCCCCCGTTTTTAAGATTTCAAAACGGTTTTAAGTACTCATTAACATAATTTTTCATGACCACAATTACTTTAGCAAAATAATACATCGAATACATTATATATTTACCACAATTCAAGATATTTTTAAAACAGCAAAAATTAATCCTTTTTTTAAAGAAACAAAAATGAAATTCAAAATTACTGGCCAATTTCTCTTTTGCCAGTTTCCTTAAAAATATTTGAGAAGCTTTTCTGTAAGCGAATGGAAATTTTTGCGCTCTCCTGGCGCGAAGTAGCTCGGTTTTTAAATCAGTTTGTTCCTGTGGGCCCCACTTATTTTGTCGTCAAATTTTAAATATTTTATTTATAATAAAAGCTTATTATTTGTGTATTGTTAAAAACAACACACGAGGATTGGCCTTTTTTCAACTGCATGTAGTTGACTTGGATTTTGGATATGCTGTATTGAAATAATGGTGCACTTCAAAATGAATATTTCTTCCTGAGATCTTAATGGCATTTCGAAGCACAAAGACATGAGAAGCCTAACAGAAACGTATCCAATATATAGAAGTCTCATAGGAATAGTTTTATATTTGAGGAAGGAGAAAAAAATACGCTTTCGTAAAATTGGAATGGTTCGAGACAAACTGCTTTAGCGCTAAACTAGCGCTCCGCCCCATTGTGGGATTTGTCGTCACCAGCAAGCGCGTAGATTTCGATTCAGACAGTACAGCAAGACAGCGCCACGTTTGGTTTCACTGTTGCCGCAAGAGTCACTACTTCATTCTTAACCTCGGACGTGCCTTAGGAATATATTGTTACGAATGATTTGTGTGGCTTTATCGCTAAATTTCTAGATTTTTATCCCCTCGACGTGCACAATCTTCACATGTGCATCAAAGTGCATATTCAATTAATTATAAATTATTAATATCATTATAGTAATGATTATCAGTTATTATTATTATTATCATAAATATTGTAATACAAACGTTCGAGTACATACTACTCCTCTAAAAGCTCTTGCCGCTTGACTCGTGGATTCGTCATTAATGTTTTATACGCACTCATGCTAAATTTAATTGAAATTACTAATAGAGTTGAGGCTCTCAGGATAATAATGGCAGATCCCAAACGACCTCCCATTTTCAGTTAGAAGTAAACGTCTGCCATATACCGTGTGCCGAAATATAAAATAAATTGGGATATGGAAAAACTCTCAAATTCCGCCTTCAAAAGGTTGTCCGGAATGAAAATTAACGTGAACAATGAGAAAAATATTTTATATGCCAAACAAACTTCTGTTGGGATCTGGCGTTATTATTCTGAGCGCCTCAATTTCATTCATACACTAAAAATGTCATTATTTATTGTTCTAATGCCACTTATTTTTTGTTTCAGGAAAAAATTGAGAATGTGTTTTTAGCAATCTTTACGATTGAGTGTGCTATGAAAATTGTAGCGTATGGTTTGGTATTACATCCTGGGGCATATCTCCGCAACGGATGGAATTTGCTAGATTTTACTATTGTAGTTATAGGGTAAGTAAATACGATTAAGGTAAGAAATTTCTCACCATTTCAAAATAAATTGACAATCCAATTTCCTTCGTTTTTAGATATTTTAGCATCAACATGTTGCATTAAGAAAAAATACAATTATAATAATAATAATAATAATAATAATAATAATAATAATAATAATAATAATAATAATAATAATAATAATGTCTTTATTAATGGCGAGGCTCAGGCCATAGGGCCTGCTCTTCCGCCTAACCACTGAACTTACATACATACTGCGACAATTCAGTCCTTAATTAAAAAAAATATACTTCTCACTTGTTCCATGTCATAATATGCATGTTTCTTGTGATATTAGAAATACCAAAAATATAAGTGTTTTAAACCCACCAATAAAAAAAACAATCCATTAGTGTCTAGAGATATTATATATAAAAAAATTAACGATTTCTATATTTACATTTAAAAAAGTATTATGTCCTCAATTTAATTCTAAATTTCTGTAATTCGTGATGTACGAGTAATTTTAGAAACCCCCCTACTAATCAAATAGGTCACAATAAAATATCCCAGGTTTATCGGATTTAATAAGGGGAACTGCAAAAAAAATGAAGCAATATTTCACGGTAGGTAAAAACATTAGCAAACGGTAGCAGTCCTATAAGAGATGTATCTTTGAAAATTGCCAAATAGTAAAATTTAAATTTTTTCTGCGACAATCCTTGTCATACAAAATGTTCCGAACACATTTTTTTCACCGTCCATGACTGAAGAAAACTAACACAAAATCATGGTTGATAATCGTGCATGTGTATTAAAAGAGCTCACTTTGGAATGCAATGGGGAAATATTTCATGCGTAGTAATATTTTTTAATAAAAACACAGTCGAAATTAGGACCATGAAGCGTTTGTACCAAATTGTGATTACAGCATGCTGTACTATCCTAAATGAACTTCAACTTGGGTTGAAGGCAGTTAATGGGTTCAGTGGAAAATGACATGGGTTAATATTGTTCAGACATTTTGAAAATTTGTTTCTCGCATTTTTATGTTCTTAATATTATGAGTAGAGGGGTATTATGGAATTTCCAAGCTTTTCAAAATAACAACCCACATTCTCCACAGACGCAGCTTCATTTGAACCACTCGAATCTTGGTCTACCGAAGAGACGTGCTCCCACATCGCATATTGGTCGTCGGCAGGAGTTCTTAAATTGCTAATTGATCACTGAAATAATTGTATAATTTAATTTACTTCATTTTTAATCTTATCCGAAAAAAGAGGGGATAATATTAGAAAACTAAACTGATGGCAAAATTGTGATCAATATCGTGTGATGCGGAACTTGTTCTAATTCATTATATGAATGACAAATCCTGCAAGTTTATCACTTTAAAACACCGAAATACTTCTCCCATCATCTTACTCTCCTTTCCAGTGGTTTTCCCATCTACGTATTTTTCTTCTCCCTTTGCATTTTGCGTACCGGTTCACAATTTGTCATCAAATTTCTTACTCTCATCTTTCCTTTCTGTTCTTTCCTCACTTGCGTTAGTTTACTCCTGACTTTACTAGCTTGAGTCCTAGAAACTCGCACAGCAGGGAGCAAAATTAATGTTGTTTTGTTTTCTTTTTGTTCCAGAATAATAAGCACAGCACTGTCCAATTTAATGAAAGATGGCTTCGATGTGAAAGCATTGCGTGCATTCCGAGTGTTAAGGCCTCTTCGCTTGGTATCGGGAGTACCAAGTACGACAGTTTTATTTATACATAAATAACATTCTCAATTATACTAAGATTTAAGGCTACTAAGATTTCTTATAATCTGACTTTACTTGTAAAAATATTAAACTAAGGCAGTTTGTCTGTCTTGCGACTTGCGTTTGGAAGTGATACGTTACCAACATTATAAACAATCTCTTATGACGCCGAAAGTTGTATATAATCTGGACGATTATAAACCTAGTTCAATCAAATAACGCAAGTCTTCAAACAATTGTCTGGAGTACGTCGTATTTATTTACTCGTAACAAAGAAAACAACAATTATCAACAATATAAGGAAACACTAACAATTTATAGAAATATAACTAGTCATTTCTCAAAAACACGAATAGTGGAAATGTAATGTACAATAGGAAACATCGTGAAAGAGAATCCACGGCTTCCAAAAATTCATTTGAAGTGTCAGTTTTCGAAGGTTCCTTTGTGTCTAGTGTCTCTCCGCCAGATGAAATTCGCCTGACGATTCAAATTTAAGTTCCCACTGATTCCTCGATGTACTTACTGTTCTGAGTCCTTAGATGAACGCCAACCTACGTGTACTGTTGTGAGTCACTAGATGAACGCCAACCTCCGAAGTTCCTTGGATAATGAATCGATTTCCACGCGCTCACGCATATGAACAATAAACAACTTACAATCTAATATAGTTAACTCGAAGGGAGTTAGTCTATCTTATGAATCTAACATATCACGCTACTTAAGTTCCAGTTTCAGTAATCATTTGCCCCTTCTAATAATTTAATAACATTATTACACAACAAAATAGCGTGGGCAATTCGTCTATAGATAAAGCTATTTTATTGCCTTCCTACGAATTTGAAAACTCGCTCCTAAGGTCGATCTTTTACAAAGTACGTATAAGCATAATCATTTTGCAGTAAAGCATTACATTATAAAGAATTTACGTGATGTACTTCATTGATGAGACGTACTGCACTCAATTTCAACAAATTTACTTCTTTAAAAACAGATTATTTTATAATAAATTGATCAATCGGTTTTGAAAAATATAGAAAAATAATAATTCATAAATTTCTACGTTCCACGAAAAGATTTAAGGTATAAATGACCTATTCAATTACTGAAGAAAGCTAAATGTGATACGAAGTATTAGACAGATTAGACATTTTAGGGATCTGACTACTCTTATACGATCCTATACTTACTGTTGGTGCAAAAGAAAGCTGACTCATCTTAAAAATGTCATTTTGAAGGATGGTAGTTTTATTTCGAGTCATTCATTTCACAGCCAAAAGTAAACTATTTTACTCTAAATACGCTGTGTCATAAACTATTTATATGAAATATTTACTAGACAAGTAGACATATTCTAAATACATTATTTTGCTTAATTAAACAATTACGATTGTTCTGATAAATCACTTTTCTTGTGTATCGACTTTATGTGCAATATCTATTGCTTTTCTATAAGTTCTTACATTGAAACTTTCCCATTACACATTATGTATTGCTTTTTGTCAAGACGTTCTGTTATCTAATCATAATGTTTGTTTCCAGGTCTACAGGTCGTATTGAACTCAATCCTCCGTGCCATGGTGCCTTTATTACACATAGCTCTCCTGGTTCTGTTTGTTATCATTATTTATGCAATCATAGGTCTGGAATTATTCTCAGGAAAATTGCACAACACATGTTATGATAACACAACAGGTAATGTCATAAATATATTTTTAATCATAATACTTATTTCTTCCACAACCCATTTTAGCGACTAACGTGCTCAGTCATACAGTTACTTCCTGGTGAGTCACTTTGGTACGATGGATATCATGGATGGAGACGTAGAGACATCTAAGGCTGTGCTTAGTAGATTTCTTTGACGCATTCGATATAGTTACTCTTTTCCCGTTTTTATGTAGGTGCATAGTGTGGTTATGTTATCGTCATTTTGCTACAAGTCTGAAGCCTCTGAGGAATCAGAGAAATGGCGACGTTCCTGTTCTGATTATTGATTTTGTTGGTATGCACACATATCGTAATTGAGCCGCTCAGAATAATAACGGCAGATCCAAGAAGTTCTTTTCGAGAAAAATGACTTTTTACTTTTTCGCTACCCCTATCGCAATAGAGAGAAAGTTATGTAATGCTGCGCGAAAAAACGACAAATTTTCGACACCAAAATTATTACAGGGTCATCGCAACGAAAAAATGCATAAATCCAGATGCTAAATTTAGAAGAAAGAAAATCATCTAACACGTTGTTTAGACAGAATCCCTGTATTGTGGATCCTTGATAACCGAAAAATCGATGGATCTGCCTGACGTCGTGATCCCTTGAATTTGAAACCGATATTTTAATGTTGGGGATACTTTACATGTAGCCCCTGTGACAATAAAAAATACCTACGTCATTTCTTCTTACAATTTGTTGTTGGGTTGTGTAATGGATGTTTAAGTGAATGGCACAGGTCTTATTTTCGTTGGAAGCTCGGATTTTTCGAAAAATGAGAGAATTCAAAAAAATCGCTGTCTTTTTACAACTAAAATATTAAAAATAGAAATTTTTCTCTTAATAAAATCTGTTCCATAAAGATATATTTTGAAATAAGGTCTTGTTCAATTTTTCGAAAAATTGAGTATTTTTCGCGTAATTTTGCATGAGGTAATTTTTAATTTTTTGTTCAACATTTTTCTCATAAAAAGCTTCATTATTTTTTTATTAAATTATGGTGGTGGATAGTCCAAAGGACGTTTAAGAGAATGAAGTAGGTCTCATGCTCATTGAAAACCATATTTTTCGAAAACTGAAAGCATTCAGAAACTTTCAGCGTGTTCCAAGATCCTTATGTTCGATTTTTTTTAATTGTGAATATTTTTCGCGTAAATTTGAAAAGAATTTGAAATGGTAAACTCGAATTTCTAGCGCTTCGTTTGAGGCGGTGTCAGTCTGTAAATGTAATTTGAGAGGCAGAGGCCGTTGAATATTCTGAAAATCCCTTCTCATTGTTTATCTTAATCCAAATTAATTTAATCCATCCTGTATTACAAATCGTAGAACATTAGGTGTGATAATTTATATCTATATTAGTTGCGATATAAATGCATATTACGTAAGCGTTACAAATATTGCGTGAAAGAACATGATTTCTCGCAACCATTTGCGCGAGAACAAAGTAATATCCAGGTGATTAATTTGCAATACTCATTAATTTGAGCCTTCCATTCATTGTCTAGAGATCATTATAATTACTAAGATTTATTTAATTTATCTTGAGGGACAGACGCGCTGTGTTGCCGCCTTTTTTAATAATTATATTCTTACTTCATTTATAATTATCGTTTTAATAATAATTTACTATTGAAAATAATTTTGTACAAACTTATTTAATGTACAATAATTTGAGATTCACTTTTCAGCTATCTGGTCACTCTGGTTGTGAAGTTGCAATCTAACAATAGGAACGTCGCGATACGACGTGAAGTTCACAGAATAATCTCTTATAGTCAGGCGGTGTTTCTAGAAGAGTGTTTCTGTGAAAGAAGGTGGTACCGACAACAGAATATAGTGGATGTAAATCGTGGATTTAAATTTTGTATTTCTGATATTATAAGGAAAGCTTAAAGAGCTTCGCGGCTCTCATTCAAATCTTGAAAAGAAATATTACTTTTTAATATTATGTAATCATTAACCCTATTGCACTGATATTAGAAGGCTATAATGTCGGCAGCCATTGGTTCACATTAATATAAACTAATAATATTATTTACGCATCGCGTGTCGTACTGTGTATTCACATTGAATTCAATAGCAGAAAGTTGTTTTCGTTTAAACGAAATTCACACAGCACTTAATTCAATAGCAGAAAGTTGTTTTCATTTAAACATTTGAATTTTTTTAAAAAAATATGTGTTTCACGTTTCGTTTCTTGAAGAATTTTTCAAATGGTAGTTGAAGTGTCGGACAGAAAGTTTCATATTACAATATTACATCGCCATTAACAATATCACGAGAACGTATGTGCTGTTAAAGCACCACTTGTTCGATTTTCGTTCACTTTCACTGAGGATAAATTTTTAAATGGGGAATTTGAGGATTTTGCCACATCCCAATTAATTTGATATTTCAGCACATGATAGGTATGCGACAGAAGTTTACTGTCCCACTTGTAACTGAAAATTCGATTTCGGTTGGATCTGCCGTTATTAACGTGCGCGCCTCAATTGAAAGGACCATTCTCTGATTAAGCCGCCATCGCTGGCAGGATTCCGAAAATTGCGCTCCGTGAAGCCACGGAAGTGAAGCAATTCGAGACTTTGCGAGATCATGATCGGATGACAGTCTGGGAATCTTGGGATCTAACGGAGCAGAGCCCTTGGACAAAGGAATAAACGACAATGACTGACTCACTTAGAGGAGGATTACTACTTAACTTCACGCGCTTAATGTCCCAGGAGCTTTGTGGCGCGTTGTACATGTGCAATGATTTTTAAAAAAATTAAAAATGAAAGAAAAAGTAACAACCAAAGGCTAGACAATGATTCACTTTTTTGCAATCTTTATTTCCTTGTAACATTGCGCAATTGAATTGAGTGAATAATTTCTATTTATGAGATAGTTTACCAAGGTTATCAAACTTCTAAGAAAAAGGACATCTAACAAATGTTTTATAGCTATGTAACGCAAACGTGTTTGGAAATACCAAAGGGACTACTGCTAACTTAGTGTGTCTTTATTGTGCAATAATGTTTATCTTACAGCGCCATTCTTTGAGTATATTAAAAATGCGTCAAATGTTCTATTCTTAAACTATCTTAACTGAATACATTATTGTTGTTTTTCAAATGAAAAACTTGAACTAAGATATTTCTCGTAACATTTAATATTGATGATATATATTTCGTAATATTAGATATAAAATAGGAAGACTCGGGGGCATTATTGAATTTTTTTTATTTGTACGAACAATGATAATATTACTTATAAATGGAGTGCGAAAAAACAATTCGTAATAATGGACGACTGTTCTCCCAAATGAGGTTGGCATTCATACCGTATGTTTTGACAATCCGACACATGATATTTGACTTTGCTAGATATGTATTGTATATGAATAAAAATATTTTTAAAACGTTTTTATGGTTACAGACAAAATGATGGATGATCCACATCCATGCGGCAAGGCTGGTGAGAGTGGCTTCCAGTGTAGTACACTCGTACCACCAATGGTTTGTAAAGAATTCAGTTGGGACGGCCCTAATCATGGAATCACCAACTTCGATAATTTTGGCCTTGCTATGCTCACTGTGTTCCAGTGTGTGACACTGGAAGGATGGACTGACGTTCTGTATGATGTACGTAATGAACAAAATATGAAGACAATAATTTAATTAGAGGATGTCTCAGAATATCTGTAACAATGTTCTAGACATGTAGAGGGATCTACGATGAGCCCTTTTTGCCTACGAACATGTGGTGAAAAAATTCATTAAGGTGCAAATATGATAATTGCCTCTCAAGAATTGGTGTTTGGCGGGTCACGTACTGACGCAATAAAAGACTTCGAGTGCCTTGCCGGATACCTGTGCATGAGGAGTTGCCTAACAATCAGACCCAAATGTTACATTTGTATGAAATTTTGCACCATATGTTCATTGGAACTGTGATACCCTTTGACCCCTTTGATGCCCTAGAATTATCTATCATTTAATCTATGGCATTATGTGTAAAAACAGAAGTAAATATAATTATTTCACATTGATAAATAAGCCCAAAATTTTACAACAGTAATCTATGTTCACAGATCGAAGATGCAATGGGAAACAGTTGGCAGTGGATATATTTTATTTCAATGGTTATTCTTGGAGCATTTTTTGTCATGAACCTAATTCTCGGTGTCCTCAGCGGGTATGTTTAAACATTTACACACCGAAATGTAAGTTTTTGTTAATAATGGACTTGACAAATATCTCATTATTTGCATGTTCCAGAGAGTTTTCCAAAGAGAGAGAGAAAGCCAAAGCCCGAGGAGACTTTCACAAGCTACGAGAAAAACAACAAATTGAGGAAGATCTCAGAGGATACCTAGATTGGATTACACAAGCGGAAGACATTGAACCAGAGGGGGAGGACATGAGAAACCAAGAAACTAAATGTAAGTCCTTAAAAATCACACTTCAAGGTAAAAGTGAACTGGGGAACGAAACCGGCTGCACTGTCACAAAGCCTATCCCAAACCCCAGGAGTACCTTCAATACTTACAGGAATATTGTAAGTACAAATAAACCGTGGAGTAGCTGGGGGGGGGGGGTAAGAGTCCGCTTATGTAGCGTTATTACTATTTTCGAGTAGTGAAGTTAGCACTTCTGCGATATAAATTGGTAACAATACAAAATGTCATGACTGATGTTTGTGAGGAGAGTTAGGTAGTTTCTGTGTAAAAACTGCTCCGACGATGAGCTAAGCTATTATTTGAACTTATTAGACGTAATTTTGCAAGATATTGGATGTATCTTTACGCTGTTAAAATCACAGTAATTAAAAATCTACAATTTAGAGTATGAATGTGTGAAATGTGACCTACGCAATAACTAGTAAATACTTTCGTAGATGTCTGACAGAAGGCAGCACAAATTAAAAGATATTGTTTCGTCTGTTGAGGCAAAGGCCCGCATTCAATTTGGTATAAGAGCCCTGGTGCAGACTTTTGCCTTACTTGTAGAAAATTAGTCATGGTTATCGATACTTAGCAAGGTCACAACACTCCCCCTCCCGGGAACGCGATTCTCTACAACAACACTACTCTCCATCGAACATTATGTTCATTGCAAAGACAGGATTGAATAGAAAACGAACGCGACGAGGAAAGAAGTCGGACATACTGGCATCGTCACCTCACAAGAATGACTTGAAATGGAAAAATATCAACCCAGAAATGCCAATAAGAAATATCTTTGCAATTCCACAAATAAAAGATGAAAGGGAACGAATAAGAAACAAGCTGCCACTGAAAATCCTTCGATAGGGCTATGCCTTGCTTGCGAAGTGGAATTCTTGGACCCTCCAGCTGGAGACTGAATCCACTGTGATTTGTGTAGAGTGGTGGCATGAAATATGGACTTCCTATGAGGGAGCGAAATTTCTCTATGATTTGTACGAGAATTAATGTATATAGAATCTGCTTTGAATTTAATGAGATACGATTTCTTTAACAGAGTATAATTTGCAGTTGGAGACTTTATTAAGACCCCTCAGAATTTACGTATCAGAATTAATCATTTACCAAAATAACTAATGTTACATTAATTTAATGCGTATGAACCTTGTACACATTATTAATTTATTTTTAAGGAAGTTTAGATGTTTTGTATATTCGGACTTTTGTCCCTTTTGTTTGTTCCTTTGACCCCATTCCTGGGGCAGAGGTCCAAATAGTGCGCTTCTTTCTTTAGTGTTTTTTTTAAACATACGCTGTTCATGTTTGGGCAGTTTATTCTTCATACATTATGGGTATCACAGTGTAAAAACCGAAGTAATATACCAATTACACGAGAGGAAACACATTTTTCCTAAAAGTGCGGACTCTTGCCTCATGTTGCCCTACTACATTTCTCTCTTGAAAATATGTCTCCATTCTTTTTTTTTTTTTT